GGCACAGCAGGACCTGGGTGGAGCAGCTCAGTTGCACTGGAAGACAAACACTGTACACCCTATTCCTTTGTTTTTGGGAGCATTCCTGCAAATTTGCAATCCTGACCACTCTCTTAGGTGGAAAACTACAGGAAAAATAGCAATGTGAGGCAATGCCATCTATCTGGAGGCTCGAGTTCCACTTCTGACATGCTGTCAGCTGCAGCACCTCCTTCTGTGCTCTTCTTGCTGCCTGTGGGCCTTATGAGCTAAAATGGGGCTCAGGCTACTGTGGGGATGTGGGGGAAAGTATTGCAAAAGAGGTGGGTGGAGAAGCAAGGCTCAGCAGGCTGTTGCTTGATCTAGCAGTATGAAAAAGCCTGTGGCTTGCCAGAAGTCCCCTGTCTGGTAGAAATTTGGGGCACGAGAGTTGGCAAGTGAATAAACGTCACACCGGTGTAAACTTTTTATGTCTTCATAAAGAAGCACAGTTTGGGGCAGTGGGAATAACTGGGCAAAGTGAAACCAGGATGGTTGGTGTGTTTTACTGTCTAAGAGCTCATTCATCTCATCTCCTCAGAGGCTCGTGTGCTGTGTGGGTTGCTCAGAGGGAGGAACCTGTCACCTGTCCCTCCCTTGCAAGAGGTTGCAGTGAAGAGCAGTAACTGTGCTTTGCTGGCATGAACAGACCTTCAGTTCCACAGACTTCACTCTTTTCCCTCTGTGTGGGTTTGTGGGTGTAACTGAGAGCTGTGCAGCTTTGCTTCTGCTCTTTGGGCTTCCTGTGTGACTGTACCTGTACAGAATATTTGGGGCAAAAATAGCAAGGGAAAGGCAAGACCTGGGAAATCGTGTCATATAAATTGGAGGACCTCAGATCGTGTCTTAGGGGGGCTGCTCATCTCCCTCAGGAGGGGTCCTGAGCCTGTTTGTTCCTTGTGTTCTTTGTCTCGTTGTGCACTGTTGTGATTGTGTGGTTTCCCTGCGTGGTTTCACCCAGAACTGGCCCTTTTCAGTCACACCTTGAGCTCACAGAGTGAGTCAGAAGGCTGCCCTGCCCCTCTAGTGGGATGCTGCAAGGGGAATGTGTGAAATCTGGAGACCATCCGCCGAGCCTTACTGCCCCCAGTGCTGGGTGTGATGTTGCAAATGTGAATTATGTTATGGGAAGGTGTACAAGACAACTGAGATGAGGATGTAGCACCTTAAGTGACTCTGTCTCAGTAGAGTCCTTCCATGCACTGGCCAGGTTTAAAGCCAGTGGATGGTGGAAATAACCTTTTGTCACTTCTTCCAGAGTGTTGTGAGATCTGAGCAATGCTGAGCTTTATCTGCACGGATCATCTGCACCTTAAGAGGCAGAAGGTTTCAGTCAGCACCTTAAGTTTTCCTGCTTCAAAAGGCACAGCCTTTCAATTTGTCTGCTTTAAAAAAGTGAAGCTGCTGCAAGCTCCTGAGCTTTGCTTTTCTGTGCATGTTGGTGAGGTGGTGAGGAACTTCCTGTTTATCTACAAAAATCTCATCTTCCAAATCAAACTGGGCTCTCTGGGGACATGATTAAGTCCAGGCTCAGCCTTGCTGTACAGGTGAAGCACAAAATGTGAAGATCTCACCAGGCTTTGCATCTCTTGATGGTGTGATACACCTTCCACGAGTGTTCAGTCTCATTCTAGGTCCCAAATGTCAGTTGTTATTCTGGGACTGCTCTGAACAAACCTTGTTTTTCAGTTTAAGGCCACTGGGGTAGAATCTGTGTCAGAGAAACAGAGCTACTTGTCTATAAAAATAATTGTACCTTTACCATCTGAGCAAGAAATACAATCGAAGGTCTGTTTCTGGACCTTTTCATACCCAACTTACTCCAAGTTTCCCACTCTTTCACCTAAAATAATTCATCTCTGTCCATATAAGGATTGAGCCACTAACACAAAAAAGAGCAACTGAATTTTTCTAGAAGACAGTTTTCTACTACTTTTTAGTGAGGATTATCAATGATTTATTGGACTGATAATTTATACATTTAAAAACCCCACTAAAACTGAACTAACAACTTGGTGCAGAAACTTAACACAGAACTAATTTACCGTGGATTTTTATCCACACAGATACTGTGACTGAGTTCAAAGGTGAGGGGGAGGCAGATCACAAGTGCCCCAAAAGCATAATAAACCATCCAGCTGACCAGAACAGCAGGGTGGATGTGTGTGTGCTTAACAGCTTTGGTTTTAGCTGGACACCCAGATGAAGAGTGAAGACAGAAGAGTCTTTACTTTCTTCCATTAACAAATCATCCGGTGTGTGATGTGCAGCCTGAGATCTGGCACATCCTCCCTTTTCTACTGGGGTGCAAACCTTTAACCAAGTTAAAGACTCCCTGCTTGCTGCTGGTGCAAATGTCACTAAAAGTAGTTTTAAGAGCATTATTTTGCAAGAGCAGATGCACAGTGTCCAAGGTAGAGCGGAAAAATTGGTGCAGATGAGGAGCATGAGTGTTCTTTTCAAACTTCAAAGGGCACCTTGATCTTTATCTCATTTTTATCTTCTTTGCCACAAACCTAGGTATGAAGCATAATCACCTTTTTTTGTGCCAGTGTTGGCAAGAAAACTTAGCATGACACAGTTATACTTGTGAACAGAAATTTTGATTGATCAGTCACTGCTGATCATTTGTTGTTTCCATTGATCCATTGTGGACAAAAGCAACATGCAATAACTTCACTAATCAATCATCCCACCAAGAGAAAATTTTATAAATATATGTAAGAGAATTTGTTGTATTTCAATATTTTCTCATACCTTATTTGTGAGAATTCTTTGTAGAACAACCCTCCTCTTCTTCCCATCCACAAAATACAAACACACACATTAGTATTCACTAGATTTTGGTCAATAATAGCTTTAGACATTCATGATGCTCGAAGAACTTTGCAAGGAGGTAGAGTGAAGTGGATTGAAAAGCTTGAGCCTTGGAAGGGTGTTTTTAGAAACTCAGAGAAAAATTCTCCCACGGACATTTTCTTGGGAGAAATGAACCTGATTCAGCATCATCTACCTCACAGGTTCATTTTACATGTTTCTATCCTAGGAAAACCTTTCCTTTCTCCCCTTTGTGGATATTCAAGCCATAACCAAAACATAGTAGGAGCAGAATAGTGGGGGGAAAAATAAAAAGAAAAAAAAAGGAGAAAAAAAAAGCTGACTGTTTTATTCCAATATTTAGGAGACAAACACACAGTGCAAATACCCACCCACTGACATGGGCTGTGTTTTGAATTTTGGTGTCACAGCAGAGCATCCATTGGTCCTTCTTAATAAAAGGAAGCTTTCCCAAAAGAGAAATGAACATCCTGGAGGGATGCTGGAACTGAGGCTGCAAAGGAGTTGTCTGGAGGAGTCCTGGCCGTGTTTATCGATGCACATTAATGGAGGCATATTCTGTAACTTCATTTACTGTGGTTTGTTCCCTTCTCTGGCATCTCTCTGCAGAAGCAGAATGGTTCAGTGCAGCGTATGTGATGACATCTGGGCTTTCAGATAAAACTGGGATGGAAGGAATATCAGGATTGTTGCAAGGTGAGTGAAGGGCTCTCCTCTGAGCCTTCCAGGGAGGGACATCGTTGTCATAAATTGTGTTGTCCTTCCAGGCCTGTAGTGGGCTGGCCATGGAACAGTGAAGTGAGGAGCTTTCCTCTGAAGCTTGAGTTGTTCCAGCACCAGGGGGTGGAGCAGCTGCTGGGCTCCTGACCTGCAAAAAACACAACAGAGTAGAACTCTTTGTTTCCTAAATAAGAGGCGTGTAAGATTTTGTCCAAGTCGTTTTATCCCATTTAAACTGCATTTGAGCAGAGGTGGATAGGATTCACCTGGTCACTGGGCTTTATTCTGATCTTTGGAATAAAGTTAGAAATCACTCTTCTGTCTCCTGCCTTCCTCCATTTCCCTTCCCAAACTCTCATGTGTTTTCTTGCAAGATGCCAAATTAAGGCAAAACTGATTTAGCATTTTGTGAGAGCTCTTCTGTGCTGCTCATTCAAGGCTTTCCCTCAGCAGTTTATGAAGTCTTTCTTATATTCACCTCCAAACCCCTCACTCCCTTTTCCTCATTGCCTCCTATTCCCTCATTTCTTGCTCTCTTGCTTCTTATCCTCTTTCTTACTATTTTCCAAATAAATCTTTCCCCTTCTCCAAAACAAAATTCCTCTATAAATTCACCTCCTCTAAGTCATTTGCTGTCATTCATTTTTCCAGCCACTTAGAATATACTGTCTTTTCTTTCCTCCAACTTGCCATTTGGGAGCTCTGCAACCTGTTTGGTGCCCTCTGATCCCCACCAGCACCACCCCAGTGACTGATAATTGTCAGCTCTGGTTGCATCTTTTGTGTTCTGCCTTCTTCCCATCTGATTTCTCTGGAACTAATTGCAGAACTTGTTGAATTTCTGCTAGTCCCATATTAAAGTCTTTCTTTTCAGTCATTTTCCTCACTCTATGGGTCGTATTTTGTCTTACACAGGCAGTCTGAACCAGCTCAACACAGATGCTTCAAGTGCCTGAGCTGTTACTGGGAGGGCACTTAGAAATTAATAAGTTTTAAGAGGAATTTAGATGCTTAAATTGTATTTTAACAGGAATTCAGATGCCTAAATTGTGTTTTAACGGGAATTTAAAGTAAAGTACCTTTGTGTCTAAGACCCTTAGTTCTTTCCCTCAACTCAGCCATGGTGATATCTCACTCCAGACAAACCATCCAGGCACAAGGAAGGTCACTGACTCTGCCTCTGATCCTGTGCCATGTTTGATACTACACAAAGATTTGTTCTTGGTGTGTGGTTGTGGTCAGGTTTTGATGGGAAAAGTTAAACATACCAGGCTCTCTTGTCTCTGTTGTGTTAGTGGAGTTCTCTTTTGCTTTGCTGGGAAAAAGAAAGAAAAAAAAGGCTGTTGTAAAGTCTGAGGTTTTTATGACTTTACTTCCATCCTTCTGTTTCTGTAAGGGAACAATATATGGGGCAAATTAAAGTCTTAAAGATTCAGTATCTTAACTGACACACTCTACAAGGACATCACAGCAATCACTTGGCATAATTATAAGAGGATTTTCATAGAGCTTTGAATGCACTTCCCTGAAGCTATGAAAAGGAGTGTAATCAAATGCATCCTAGGCAAAGCTTAGTTTAAAACTAAGTTTAAAACTACTTACTGTGGCACCTCTTTAGACACCAAAACATGCATCCAGTGATGAACAGACAACATAGACCCACGGGTGCTGAGACATAAATAATGTGCAAAATGTTGTAGTTTCCAGATTGTTGAGACTCTTCTGAGGTGTTGGTGGTATCTAAAATTGCATTAGCATAGAAAAATATTTGACTGGCTTTTTATTTTTTTTTTTTTTTTTTTTTTAGTATTATGTCTTTCTGATGCAACTAAATTCTTAATGTACAAACATTCTGTAACTTGGTGCAGCATGTCAGGAGATATGAAGTATCTTCCAGTATGAAGATACTGGAAGGAAAAGTGTGTGGGGGAAACGTGATTCATGAATAATGCATGGCAGGAGCAAAGAGAGGCTCAGAATCAGAGGAATGCTCTGAACTTCCAACATATTTTTGCAATTGTACTTGTGAACAATAGCCAACTGTGAGTAAAACCCATATTTCAGGCTGTGTTAGAAGTGATGGTATAGCAGGATTCTAACACTTTCTATGTGTAAGAATGTATGTGTTATTACTGGGATATTAAAGAGTGTGCTAGAACTGTAGTGTATAGCACCAGGAGGTAATTTAATTGGCTTTGTCCCTTTTATGCTGAATTCTGGACAGTCCCAGCCTTGAAAACCGTGCCCCTTGAGAGACTGTATTTTGCTCAAGCAGGAAGAAAGCAACTGTAGTTTAGCAATGAGTTTAAAAATTGTCTCGACTGCACAAACCAGAAAGTCATAGCAATACAGATTAGTTCCTTTCTCCTAAAGAGAAAATAAGAATTAGAACTTACTTTCTGGTGAAACTGTGATGTTTACAGACTTTTCTGAAAGATAAAAGCAGGACAGGGAAATGAAACAGCAACTTGACATTTGGCACCAATGGCATCAAGCAAAGGGAAAGGCGTTTTGGAGGAGGAGAAATGATGAGTTTGTCTCCCACTGCCAACCAGGGTAGTTCTATCTTTCAGACCTCTTGGGCATTCAAACAGATCACTAGCACATATTTCAAAGGAAACGTGGATCAGGAGCTGGGCTCTACTCTGTTTACCACAATTTTTTATGTTGCTCTCTCTGTTGCAGCATTAAACAAGGTTTTAAAGTTCATTAACTCACCAGGAGAGGAACTGGCAACAGAACAACCTTAGAGCTCACTGCCTGGGCTCAGTAGGACACTAAGGCCACTTTCTAGAGCTGCAGAGCAACACTGAGGAGGGCAGACATGGCTCCTCATATCTAGACTCAGAATGCCAACTGAATCAATGAGAAGACCTAATTTGCCTTTAAGATCATTTAAAGCTATTGTAATATTTCCTACTCTTGAACTTCTTGGGGTACAAAATCATACCCTGGTTGTTGCAAGGAGACAATTTTCAACAAGGTACTTGAATTGCTTTGTCCTCCATACTGTTGTGTGGCCTCAGTGACTGCTGCTCCATGATCATTTGTATCCTGTCTGGTCCGTGGGATGTACAACCAGGCTGTTTTTGTTCCAACTGATATTTTTTTAATTATCAGATAGGCTGGTTGGTGTTGGCAGCTTTGCCTTTCTCTTGAGATCCTCCTGTTATTTCTTTATTTTGTTCTTTCTTTTGGTTTCTGTCCTACCAAAAGGCAGCATAAAAGCGTGGAGGAAGTGGCAAGTACCAGCACAACTGTGCTCCCAGTCAAACACGTCAGGAGGAGCCATAATCCAGAAGGCAGGAGCGTTGCTGTAAATGGCATTTTTTGTTTAAAAGGGCTCTTTCACAACACAGGGGGCTCACCTTCAACAATGATCTTTATTTCATGGCTCTCAATGGACAAGTTGCCCACTTTGGCTTGACACCGCAACCGTCCGGTGTCGTTCTGGTGGACTGGGGAAATCTCCAGGGTGAACACAGAGTCAGACTTCCAGCCTGCTTTGCCCTTCTCCAGCTGCACACATGTAGCTCCTTCCATCTTGCACCACTGCACGAGTGGCCTTGTGTGGCAGTACTGACCTGGACACTCTATAGACAAAGAGCCCCCAACATGAGCTTTGTACTGGGAGCCTCTTTGAACTTGAATTTCGGGTAAACAACCTCTGGCATCAGATCCTGGAAGAAAAAAATAACACAAATCCCAGCAGTGGGAGGCTACTGTGTACTCCCCATCACTCTAATCACAGGGTTTTGTCTCTGCCATGACTCAAGACTTCCCTTGTCTCCTTGCAGCAGATCTGATCTCTGTATGGGGCGGTGAGAGCAGATAACATCAACACCACTGCTGCTTTTGTTTCCACAGGGTTGTTAAAATGCACTTTCTCTCTCTGATATAAACTTTCCCTTTTTTTCTGTATCTCAATCAAGTTAGATATTTAATATTTTAGGAAGAAAACATGTAAGATATACATAGCAACTTTTCCTTCTCACAGATCTTTCCTGTTCCTTTTAGATTTGAGATTAGTTACTTCAGAATTCTTCTTAACTTGCAGAAGTAAAGGCTTTTTTTTTTGGTAGAGATTTTTATAATTGTAATACTGAACAGAATTATATTTAATGCAAATATATCTTATCTATTTTTTTAATTTTTGCTACATTTTGTTTAGTTAAGGGTTCAGGTCAAGGGTTTGACTCATTATAACTCTGAGACTTGGTATTTGAATGTCCTGACCTTTTATCAAAAATCCATGTGATGCTTTATTTCTCTGGCTAGTTCAAAGCAACAAAAATTACGTGATACTCACATGCTTCCTACCACTCTACCTTCTTTTACAGTGGCTTTGGAAATGGGCATTTAAAAATTAGGTAGCACTGAAACCTGTATCTTTAATATTGTCCTCATTTTGCCCTGTCAAATGTAGCTGGTCTTGCCTGATAACAAGGAGAGGGTTATTCACTGTTATTTGCAGCCACTGCAAAAAAGGTGGTCTCTGATATACTTCTGCCATGTGGAATATTGAAACTCCTCTGCCCACAGAACTTGGAATGCCAGGAAGTTTCTGCTTTGAGGGGTCCAAATCTGAAGTCATCCTTGAATACCAACTTTCCCTTAATCAGCTTTAAATGAGGTTTGAAGTGGGGTGAGGAGAGTGGCAAAAACACACAGGTAAAGCAACTTGGAGAATGACTTTAAAACTGGTCCCTGTGGAAGGGGCAAGGGGAGGAAATTCAGATAATTTGGATGGAGACAAGAAAATTAACCAGGAGAAGAGCCCTGGCTACAAACAATGTCTTTTTACTAATGAAAAACAGCTGGATAAAAACCAAGGGAAAGTAGAAGGCAGAATTGATTCAATAGCCCTAAGAAGAGAAGGAATGAGAGCAGCAGAATAAAAATAGTTTTGTTTGGGAAAGAAAGAAAGTTCTTCAGTAAGTCTGGAGATGTGGGAGATAAGAACTCCTCAGATGTAAATAAGTGACAAGAGTACAAGCACTCAGCACTGCAGCAGTGCAGGAAAAGACTGTCTGGGCCAAATCATGAGCAAGCTTTTCACTGACACAAGAAAGAAACCTCCAAAAGCAGAAAACAAGGTCTGGTTATGAAGGAGGGACATAAAAGAACTAAGCAACATTGGAAAAGTCATGGCAGAGGATGAGATGAGCTTGAAAAAGCACATCAAGCACAAGTATATTGATTGTAAAATTAGGAAAATATTATTTCACTACTTAGTGGAGAGAGAAAGCTGCCAATAGATTACCAGTAGTAAATCAGATTGAACAGGTAACAGAAATTATTTGTAAAAAGGCAGGCTCAGATCAAGAAGATACACAGGGGGCGTGTGAAAAGCTTTGTGTTCTGCTAATTTTACCTAGGTCTTGTTCAAGAAAGAACAGGGCAATATTTGGGGACTCTCCAAGCTGGAAAGAAGCCAGCTAACACCAGGACTGTGATAGGAAGGTCTCAAAGCAAAGCTTGAAATTCTTGTGGGTTTTTTTCATTTAAAGAAGAGAAATAAGAGGAAAGGACATAATAAAATCATGTAAGATAGAAGATTGAAATAACTTTTTTTTCTCATGTTTCTGGTAGGTATGGGGAGAAATAAAGGGCTAAAAGTGAAGCAGGGGAGGTTGATTATATAGTTTGAAACACTTTGTAACCATGAAAATAGTAATAATGGAACTGATTTCTGTGGAAGCTTGTAGAGTTTGAATTATTGGTGGTCCTGAGGAGTGGCTTATGCTGACATAAGAATGAATACATATATATATATCTCCATTGAGATGTAGTAGCAAAAGCAATATATTTAATATAACATTTAACATATTGCATGATACTTAAAGTGAATAAAATAGTTAAATTTAGTGTTAATACATTAAATATATATAGTATGGGGGGGTTGCAATATATATGATGTGTCAAGTATATTGCAATAGTACCAGCTCTGACATGTTCACAAGGCAGTATTTAGGTGTTAGGGGACATCCAGACCCTTCTCTGCTTTCCTGAATAAGACCATTCTGAAAGATTTTATTTTTATGAAGCAGGATCACTTCTCTTTCACTTAAAACCTTCTGTCTCCGATTAAAAGAAAGCAGATTTCAGATGATTTCAAGTTTCAGGCAAGCAGGACAGACCTCTTTTGGTCATACCACAACAGCAGCACATGGTTATCAAGAGCCTGAAAATGGAAACTAAAAGCTCAAATTAGAAAGTGAAGGTTTCAGTTCTTTGAGCAGTGATTGCCCTGGAAGATAATGCTCCAGGAAGTTATCTATAAAGATTGATAGCAGCCTTCTTTTGGATATAATCCTATGTAACATGTATTTCCAGAAGGATGTGTATAACTCTGCAGCAAAGATGTTTTCTGAGGACCTTCATCTAATTATTTTATCCCACAGTTTTATCTTTTTTTAAAATTCTCTTCTTGAAAAACAAACAAACAAACCAAAACTCAACCCCCCAAAAAAATAAATGCCAAAACTTTTATAGAAGGTCCAAAAAAGTCCAATTTCTCTGTTTTCAAACAAGTTTTGAGTTTCTCATGAATTCCAATGAACATTAGTTTTGTGGGTACTCGGAAAGGAAAATGTCTTATCAATATTAAATATTGCTCTAAAGAAATAATTGTCTTGCACTTCAGTGAACAGGGGTGGCACAGAAATTTCTACATTCCTGAGTGGGAATATAGAAATTTCCAGACCAGAAGCTTTACTGAGGTCTGGATGTACTTCAAGGGTAGTTTTTGTGCCCTCTTGCTCTCCAGGTGAAAGGTATAAACAGTTCAAGTGTTCTCATCTCCATGAGAAAATTCCTTCCTTAGAACTTCCTGCACTATTACTAATTCAATCCTGAGGAGCTATTTCACTGCTAATAAAAAATTTAGCTGGTTGCAATTTGTACTTTGGTTTGGATTTTTGCTTGTTTGTTGGGGGGGTGGTTGTTTTTGTTTGTTTGGGTTTGGGGTTTTTTGTTTGTTTTGTGTGGGTGGGGGTTTTTTGTTTGGGTTTTTTTCCTTTTTTTTTTAATTAAGGTTCCATTGGCATTGACATTACGTGTTCTATTTCCTTACACAGTATATTTTTAAGAGGATTGAAATAAAATATGCTTGTATGTCTCCAATTCAACCATAAGGAGCTGTTTCACTGCTAATAAAAGATTTAAGTGGTTACAATTTGTTCTTTTTTTGTTTGGTTGGTTGGTTTGGGGGTGGATTGTTTGGGGTTTTTTGCTTGTTTTGGGGTGGTTTTTTTGTGGATTCTTTTTTTTGTTTGATTTGGCTTTGTTGTTTTGGGTTTTTTTAAAGTTCCACTGGCATTGCTATTACTTTGTTACTTGTTCTGCTTTTCCTTATATATTTTTAAGAGACCTGAAATAAAATGTGCTTGTCTCCCACCAGGTGAGCTTGAACAGTGTTTCTCCTGTTTTCCCAATTCCTGTGCAAACATGTGCCACAGTTTTGCTCCTTTGTCTGCAGGTGGTGACCCTTCACTTTCTAAATCCAATATAATCAGGTCTGGTCAAATTCTGCTCCCAGAGCAGAATTCCCTGCCATCCAATGGTCCTGACTCCACCATCCTTGTTTCCTTCAACAGGTTGCCTATGGAATGTGCCCCTGGGCTTTGGGAACAGCGTGGGAGGAACTCGTCCTGCGTTTGTTGTTCTGGTGCAGCTGCAGTTTTGGTAGGGAAAAAAAATAACTTACTGGAATTGGATTGAATTTCCTTAGTTCTCCTTTGTGCATCCTGTGGAAAAAAGCCTGTGCCTGCCAGGTAAACACCACTATTTGGGATTTTTTTTTTTGTTTATTTTTTTTTCCCCTGACAGTCAAATAGAACAATCTTTTGAATTTCTTAATAAACTACATGAGCTACAGCTTCCATTTCAGTGTGTGTGAGAATGTGGAGAGTGTTTTCAGAGCCTGCAAAACGGCCTTACTTTCAGGGGCTTAAACCAATCAAACTTTAAGCTCCTTTTAATTCTTTTTTTAACTATTAGAAGACAATTCTTGGAGCATGACATTCATCATAATTGCTTTGGTATGTTGTTACTGACTCATGGCTGAATGTTAAGGACTTATTAATGACTGATGGCTCAATGATTTGGGCTTCAGGGTTTCATTTTTGCCGGGAAAAAGTCCTTGGTAAATGTTGTCTAGAACATCACCAGATGGGATGAATGAATAAGAGTTAAAACATTTTTCTCAGGCTTTGTGAAATTCTTAGTTTCAATTATTTGGAACTTCAATAACCAAAAAATCTGGACTAGAGAAAGCCTTTTCTTATAATCCATCTTTTTTTCCCTTCTAGTGCTTAAGTGTTGGAATTGGTAATGAACATGCCCTGAAATCTCTAGTTAACCTTTGCTCTGTCCCAAATCACACCTCCCTTGGCAATAAACTGCAAGTGGATAAAAAGCAGTGGAGAAAATCCTTTTAAATCTAAAAATATTTGGGATATATTTTATATAGAACCAAGTATTTAAGGCAAACTTTTAAAAGTATATTTAACAGATTTCCTACAAAGGCTGTTTGTCAGGGATAGGTTTTGGTGTAGATTTGGGATGAAATAACAATATAAATTATAGTATCCTAGAGAATGAGTGGTAGAGACACTGCCAATTATGTTCCATATTGCTTTTTAAAATAAGTTTAATCAACTTCTGTAACACTATTACAGAAGCCAGTTACAGGGTTTTACACTGAGGCTTTAAGTTTTCAGTCTCACAAACATTGGTGGTCATGACGAGTCTCTGAACGTGAAGTTTTCAAGAGGGGTAAAGAATCTGTAAAAGACTTTATATATCAGCTTCAAAGTTAAACTCCTCAGTAAGATCCCCAGTGACTAAAAGCACATTTTCTCTTAGATCCCTCGGGTGTGTTTCTGAAGAGGCTGCAGTGAGCTGGGCTCTCTTGCACCAGGAATTAATTTGCACAAGTAAAGCAAAGCTTCTGCCAGGATTTTGAATGAAAGCGGGTATTCCATAATTGTACATTAGGGAAATACTCCTGACAGTACTTTAATAAAATTATTTTTAAAATTTTTTCCTCATTTTTACATTCTAGAAAACAGCCATGACATGACTAATTAAGCAAACAACTTCTTTATTTTCTGGCAGTGCTGGTGTTTGCAATGCTGGCCTGTTTGCTGATGTAGCTGATGAAGAGTCGCATCTTTTTTTAATTATTCTTTGATGAAAGCTGTGTAAGTGCAGAAAATATGCTTTTATATTTTGATGACTGAAACCTGAAGATGGGACTTTTCTGGTGGCACGTGCAGGGTATCCCACAAGAAGGTCTGACATCAAGGTGTCACTGGGGCTGAGAGCTGTGCCCACCATCAGTGGGGCACGTACTTGGTTTCTGGATGGGATTCTTGGAGCAAGAATGAGTTTTAGTATTATTATTTTCACTGGGATGAAACACTTCATTTGTTTTGTGTTTGTAGCCCAGAGAGCAACAACCACTCTTTGTGAGGAACAACCTGTTCTCTGGTGTTACAAAGGAAACAGGGTCTAACTGGACTAAAATTACAAGGGTGTGGGGGCAGGAGGTCCTTCTGCTTGTGACTTATTAGAAACAGGCTTATTTTTCTTTTTCTAATTTAGAAAACATTATTATTGTTATTATTATTATTGTTGTTGTTGTTGTTGACTTGGTCTATGAAATCTGAGGGGTCAACTTTGTTTCTGTTTGGAGTAGGGGAAACTTTGGATAGATCTGCAACACACAAAGGTTAAATAAGTTGGCTTCAATTTTCAGCTTATTTTTAACCAAATAAAACCCAAGCAAGTTAGGGGAAACCTTTGGCTAAAATGTAAATACGTTTAAAAAATGTATCATGGTTCTGTAGAGACTGACTTGCAAAACTTTTCTCCCTGTAATGCTCCTGTGAACATCATTTTTATTTTTGTAGTAGGTGCAGAGAAAGAAATATTAGTGTTCTTGGAGGACTCCAGGTAGTTCTGTCTTAGATCTAAGAATAAAACCTAATAAAATGTGAACACAAACCAAACAAAAACCCCTAACAGTGTGTAAAAAAAGATTGATACAATAAACAGAATTTCCATTCTGTTTTAAAAGCAGTATTTGGAACCTGGCAGAGGAGTGTGGAGGGTTCATCCAAATTGGAGAGAATTCTACCAGGGAATGAAGAGAGGTGATTATGTGAGGGACTAATGACAGAGGGACTTAATGAAGTGCCTAATTTTCTAACCTTCTAATTTTCTTAGAAGAAAATACGTTCCTTTAGGGAATGAAGGAGGTTGTCAGTTCGAGATACAACCCCTTCAGAAGCATGTTAGTTTAGTCATTTGAAAATCAAGTGTAAAGCAAGCAGTTCAGCAGCCTACTCGAGCTCAGATCACACCCTGATTAAGCAGCTGGCATGGTAACTCGTGTCTCTTAAGTGAAATATTTGGGTTTCTCTTCCCACGGATGCCCTGACTACTTGTTTAACATTTCCAATTAGTATTAATAAAGTGTTTTATTCATCAAAAAAGAGGAGTGTCAGAAGACGCTGTAGATTTGCAAGGCTGGTCACATGTGTCACCTAAGCTTTGCACAACCAATTCAATTTGTGTCATTTTAGCAGGATTTTATCACATTATTTCGACCAATTTAGCAGTTGATCCATTTGAAATGTATGAAGAGCAGCTGAGTGTATCCATTGCAGCAGCTCTGAGCCTTTTTGTATCACTTCCTTCCTTTCAATGCCAACACTTATGGCTCCTGTATGATATCAGGCAGGAAGAACTTGAAACAAAATAATCTCCTTGAGCAAAATAAAACAAAAATAGTATTAGGAGTATACTAACTTGAAACAAAATAATCTCCTTGAGGAAACTAAAGTAAAAATAGTATTAGGAGTATACTGGGCATGGGGTTGTCTTCACATCAGTCCAAATTAGAAGAACCTCTTGTTCCAAAACCGTGGCGGTTCAAAGTTGGAGAGTGGGATGCTAATTAAAGTGGGATGATAAGTAAGCAAAGTAATTACAGAGACACTTGTCTGGTGAGGATAATTTGGTTGCAAAGCAGACCTAGTTCGGAGCTAGTAGGATTCCCAGATTTCAGGTACAAATCCTTTGAAGGAAGAGCCTTTGGCCCCAACCACAGTGAAAAATGTATTTGGTCCCCAGGTGCTGGAGTTCTTGTCTAGACAGTCACTGAATATTTCTCAATTATTATATTATCATCCTCTTCAGTCAAATTAGGAGTCTCTAATACAGTAAGAAAACAAGATGCTATCTCCAGGGTACACTAAGCACTGCTTTGCTTTCTGTTCCCCACCCACAGTGTTTAATAAAACTCCACTCAGGTTAAATTATAAAGCCACATCTTACCGTAAACTTGAGAGCTGCTCTGAGCCAGCATGACCAGGAGAAGGTACAGCAATATCCTTTTGATCAACATGACTGCAGAAACCTTCATTCTCTGGGCATTGCAAAAAGATGTTCCTGAGGGTTTCAAAGGTCTCTCACATCCCATGAGGTGTCCCCAGGGTGTGTGTCTGAGTCGAGTCCCTCCACTAGTTCTGCTGCCAAGAAAAGGGGTGGGGAAGCTACAAATCTGCAAAAATACGACGGGTTACACAGTTGCCCTTTTTTTTTTTGTTTTTTTGGGGGGGTTTTTGTGTGTGTGTGGTTGAAACTGCTTCATTGTTTCACATCACCTCAGAACTCTCTGCTTCTCCCCTCACAGTGCGAGGAACCACAGCTATTTTTTTCTTTTTTTTTTTTTTTTGAAAGATGCTCCTGCATGTGAGGTTTAAATTTTATAACCAGCAAATATAGCAGAGAGAAGGGAGGCACTTGTTCAGTCCTCCAGTCCTTGTGTTTTACTCTAATTCAACATTAGCAAATTAGGAAGCTGAACAAATTCACCATTCACGAGCTGGTAGATGTCAGAAACACGGCTGAATATCTTAATTTCTGTTAGATTAATTTAAAGCAATCTTCACTAAAAGTACTCTACTGTACTATGGTTTCTAATATTGTTTGTAATATTGGATATTGGAAACAATAACATTAAATATTACAAGCAATATTATTTCTGATATTGTTTGTAATATTGTGCTATTGTTTCTACTAGTTATTTTTAGCATCCTCATAACAGAAGACCAAGTAATTTGATTTTTTGGTTTTGTGGGTTCCTTTTTCAGTGTGTCCTTAGTATCTCTCTTGCCCCAATATTGCTAAAACATTGAACCACTTAGTTGAACCTTCCCAAAAACTGCTGACAATGCAGTTTCTTCATGAAGTTAGAACCAAATTCAAGTGGAACAGGAACTTTGTATACATAGAAGGTATCACTTCTGCCTATAATGCAAATATATCAACCCCAAAAAGAAACCAGGGAGAGGAAAATAATGCAGTTATAAAACCCTATGTTAAAATGGTGGAGTTTAGACTTGCCAAGAGGGTAGTCAAACACCAGAATGTATTTTTCTAGAGAAAATATTGAATATTATGGTCTTTAAAAAAATTAAATTATGGGGATTCTTTTTTCAAAGTAATGTTTTGGAGAAAATAATGGAACAACTCTGAAATTTTGACTTTGGAAGGGTCTGGTCACAGAAGAATCATCGTGATGTTCGTGAGAAACTGAAAAAGCCTTAAAAAATTACAATCCAGCCTGAATGGCAAATATTTATGACAGAAAACTCACGGAGTGTAACTGCACACACGGCATTGCCACCGCTGGAGACAAACATTCCTACCACGGGTTGCATTTGTGTAGAGTGAAGACATCTAGTGGTGAATCCACGTCTAACTTAGAAAAAATGGTTATTCAGGGAGGGTTTTCCTGCCACTGCCATTTCTGCCTGTGCTGTGTCCGGTTATCCAAAGCTTATGCCAGGACTGTAATATTAGTAGTTTGTACTTAAGCTCTGTACTTTTATTAGACAAAGTGGTTTGGGCTGGATTGCTACAGATTGAAGCTTTTTTGTTAAACAATGTTTTGTCTGTTCTCTGTGGTGGTTTGAGATTCACTTTCTTGGTGGGCAATCCCTTTTTGGCAATTTTGTGGGAGTCTTCTGTGTTGTCTCCCTTTGGGAGAGGAGAGGTGGGTCAGAGTGGCAGGAAGGAACATATTCCCTGTCCTGCACACTGTAGATGGGTTGTAAGGATTCTTTATGTTGTATTTTTTATAGTAAATAGCTTGGACATTCGTCTATACTTTGGTAAAAAACCTTTGGCAAATGAGACTTCCACTGCCCCTGCTGATACATCATTACTACCTTTATCTCCTTCCTGGAGAATGGTTGCTCTGGGGTTGTTGGTTTGTATCTGTTTAATTGTTTTGAGTTTTTTGGGTTTTTTTGGTAGGGTTTTTTCTTCATAATTTTTCTGAAGATGGCAAAGAATCTGAGTTTTTCATGTTTTTTGTTGGGGCTGTGTTACCACCTTGAGACATTCCTGTGAGCTTTTCTATTTTTACAGTATCACAAGACCAAAGCTGTGGTTTGGGGTTGCTTTTTTCCTGTTTGCAGGTGATCAGTCTCCAACCACAAAGTGAGACATCATTTTGACAGTGGGCTCCAGTACATCTGCTGAGAGTTACCTTAACCCTACATGAAGAAGGTTTGACAGCAATATTTCAGTGTCTCATCCAGCTCCTTCCCTGTCACGGGTGATCACTGTAATTCCCTGTTAAGGATCAGGTACTTCATTTCTTTGCAATCCCCCTCCTTTTTCTGTGAGATTCTCTGCATCTCTCTTTTTCCTCAGCAATTTCAGTTTAATGAGAGGAGCCAACCTTTGTTAAATCAAAGAACAGAGAACAGGTTCTAAAGTGCAGGCTGAGCCTGGGCCTGAACCTGAACCTTCTCATCACCAGGGACATCAGTTCATTCAACACAGAGGTGGTTAAGACTCTACTCAGGGTTTTGCTGTACATGAAACACTTCCAAGGGTGTTGTAGCTACTGGATTTGTCTTGTGGTAACCACAGGCTTCAGAAATAAGGGGAGGGAAGAAGCAATTTAAAGCTAATTATAGAAGAACTAAGGTGAGGAGGTCTCATTTACTCCAGTGAAATCCAGCACTGAATTTGAGAGCTATTTTGTCCACTGAAGGGCAGATTAAAAACCCACTTGAGGCAAACCAATACAACAAAACCCCCTAAGAACTTCTAAAGCTCCTAATTCTTTTTCTCCCAGCTTTGAACAGAGCTGCTGAATGATATCCTTAATGGAGCTGCAGTAGCTCTCTATGTCCAACCTCACACTTTCTGCTCCTCCTTGTGAGCTCAATGATCTGCTTTTGGATAGGAAAGACGTGGCCTCCACCACCAGATGACCCACAAATTTCAAACCCCTTGTAAAAAAAAGTGGTGGGATGGGCAAAACCCCCAAATTCTTACCTGACATTGGCAGAACTGCCACTGATTGTGTCTCTTCCAGCCTCTGCTGCCTCCCCTATGTAAATGATAAATGCCAAACCTAATTATTAATACAAGTGTGGCCTCAAAGCAGTTGTGTATCCTTCATCCTACTGCACCCTATATATGGGTTGAACTGCCTGGATTCAGACAGAAAAGTGTCACTGTAAGAATTCTGCATGGCCTAATTACTAAACTTTAAATACACATTTCACCCACTTCTGCATTAGTTTCCACACAAATCCTCACCAATACACTGATTTTTGCAAGTCTGCATGTGCTGTTTCATAGAGGAGTTGTCCACACAAAAAAACTTTACAAAAGGCTATGTTTATTCTGCTTTTCCACTTCATATCAGGGTAATAAATAGGACCTGATCCTAATGTGCTGAAAATGAGTGAAAATGAGAAAGCACTGATTAATAAATTCATCAGTCAGGAGGCTGCATGAGTTTACTGTTGATCCATCATGAGATGTCAAGCCAGGTAAGAATTCAGAATATGTAAGGAATCAAACCCACTCTGGATAATTTTTGATGGGCTGATTGATGCTATTTTCTCAATTTTTAGGAAGTCCCTAAGGGAGACAGAGATCAAACTGTGACCTTTTTGCAGTCACAATCCATTTTTACCATCTTACATTACACCTTTATATATGAGCTACCACATGTTCTTTATCCACTTTGTTGGCAAAATAAGTGATCATGCATAAATCTATCAAAAAGGAATATCTTTTTATTTTTATTTTTTTTAAGAGACTACTTTTCCATTGCCAAGTGAAGACCTTCTAAAGTAATTTTTTTTTTTACTATTGTTTTAATATAAAAATTTAAATCACTTACTCTGGTCTAATTGTTCCAACAGGAAATCTTGTGGCACTGCAAGTATTTTCAGCCCTACTTTATTATCAAATCATAAGTTCAGGACTTTTTATAAAATAAAACCATTTCTGTGGCCACTTACCATCAGCAAAACATCCCCTGACACCAAACCAGAAGTAAAGCATCTCCACTAGACCAAAAGAGACTAAGAGAATCATTACAGTGAGAAGCTTTGTTAAAAAAAAAAGATTTATTTTGAAAGTTAGACACAACCTTAAAATTGTACAAAGACAACAAGCACTCAAATTACACAAAGAGTTAAGTAGCAGTGAGTACAATGTGAATGCAACAGTGAGTCTTGCCTCTCTTTATATGTAAATATAGAGATTATCCTTGCCAAACTTCCAGCTCTTTTTTGTTTACTTTTCTTTTTCCTGAAAACCAGCTCATTATGCTGCAAAACCAGAGAGCATTTCACTGTTCAGAACTGCTAAAAGGGGCTCTGGCTAAAAATAGCCCTTCTATCATGAAAATATCCCATACTTTGCAGAACAAGTTCTGAAAAACAGATTTCCCTTTCATTATGTTGGATGTTTCACCTCCCCTAAGGACCTGCCAAATTAGAGGCTTCAAAATGATTAAAAATTTGGAAGCTTGCTCATGTTTCTTCATTTTCATTATTTTACTCTTTGAAAGTGTTTTTCCAAGGAAAGCATTTCAGAGTAATTTTAGCTGTGAGTTGGCTAAACTGATTTAAGTACATGGTCAGAGAAGAAAATATTTCTTCTTTTTATTTTTTTTTTTTAATATTACATTTAGAATTCAAATATATTAATAAAACCACCTGGCAAAAAGTATCCCTTATAGCTTGTCCCTACATATGGAAAGTGAAAAGCAGACATTGCTACCATCCTACCTTTACTTCTGAAGGTACTTTTCTTTGCAGGAAATACATAGAAAAATAATAATGCAGTGTTGTTGCATGGAGACTGATAACTTAATCATAGCCTCTGAGCTAGGATTTAGTGATTAGTTAGTTTAGATATACCAGAACACTTCTGCTGTAAATCTTCCCTCAGATCAACAGCAATTAAAAGGTTATTATAAATTAAATTTTATCCAACTGTAGCCACACTGGCAAAAATTATGCTCTAAATTTGAGTGTTCGCAGGACTCTGTTCCACAACTGAGTGGAACCACTCACACTTAAT